CAGGAGGCAGAAGCAGAAGGATAGCAACACAGCAAGATTCTGTAAAATTATTTTTAATTAACAAATTATATATATATGTGTGTGTGTGTGTGTGTGTGTGTGTGTGTATATATAATTTTTTTTTCATTCCTTTAGCAAACACTTAGTGAGCATGTGCTCCGCTGAGTGTACAATGAACAGTCTCCTAGTCTCCTGGAGCATAGTCTACGAAGGGAGAAGGGTCATCGAAGTCCTTACACTTTATGACATGTTGATAAGCCATCATGGCTGCTATGAGGAAAAGGCACAGAACGCCTTGAAAGCACGGACTGGATTGCTGCAGCAGACACCTTTCCTTCCTTGTTGGGAGATCGTTACTATGATGACTACGATAGCCCAGCCAGGGACTACATTTCCCAGTGTCCTTTGCATGTGCATGAAGTCGTGATAATTTCTCAGCAATGGAAGATGGGCAGAAGTGGCTAGAATGGCTAAGAAATGGATGTGTCTTCCTCACCTCTCGTCCCTGTCTGCTGGCTAGGGCAATGCTTGGGGTGGCTTTGGAAGTCACAAGCTGATGATGGAAAGCCCTTGAGGGCTGCCAGGAGCAGAGACTCCTCCCCCTCATTTCACCCTGCATTGTGTTGTTACATGAAAGAGAAATTGGTGTTGTGTTAAGTCACTGAAATTTGGGGACTTGCTTGTTATAACCACTAGCGTTGTCTTAACTCCTATGACTTCTTTGTTGAAGTGGCATTCGGGCTGAGATGAGAAGGAGTTCCCCAGGTAGGGAGGAGAGTGTGAGGCACAGCATTCCAGGCAGGAAGGAGCAGGAACGAGCTGGGGCACATAAAGATGTAAAGAACTAGGTGTGTACGACCACCATGTGCATGTGTTGTGACATGGGCAAGTCCCTGAGCCACTCCCCAGCACCTGTACTGCACTGTGGCTCTTCTCCGCTTGTCTCTGCCCTAGGCAGTTTCTTGCCGGTTCCTATCCAGCACAGTGGTCTCCCTGGCATCCAGCCCACCCCTCTCCCATTGTAGAACAGCCAGGCACAGTACCGGCCCCAAGTCCAGTCCCAGGAGGTGCATGCTGCATGGGGAGCCACCAGGGGCTTGCAGCCTTCCTCGCCAATCATGGCCCTGGTAATCCAGATCTAAGCCAGCCAGCACTGGCCATGTTCCCAAGCACGAGACTGGATCAGTAGGCACACGACCTACCTGCGGGCTCTTCCATTACTCGTGCCACCAGGGCAGGAACCGTGCTTGGTTTTGCTCTCCTGCGTTTCCCCAGCACATAGTAGGTCTTCAATATCATTTACCAACTGCACGCGCAATCAGTTCTTCTGGTGATCCCACTTTGCTCGGAGAGGACTATTGGATCCTTAAAGCCCTGAGGGAAACAGCACAGGCTCTGATGAGAAGTGATGGGACAACGAAAGGCTCTTGGTCTGGTCCCTGCAACATTGTGGGAACTTAGCAAAGGGTCTTCGTTTGCACCCCACCTCTATTGTTAGAGTGATGATGATGGTGGCGGTGGTGACAACAATACCTTCTAAGCTGAAGGAAACAAGTTCACACAAAGAGAAAACTCACTGCTAAGAAGCTCACCCCTACCCCAACCACCTTCCATCATGGTTAAAATCTGCAAACTGGGGACAATAAGCCCCCCCCGAATGTGGGGAGCCCTGGCCCAGGTGCATGCTGTACCCCACAGGAGGCAGCACTCTGAGCTCCTGAACAGCAGCTCCCTCCCCTGTGGCCAGGGAAGGAGGGACCCGATGTTTATGAGTTCCTCTTATGGGCAAGGCCTCCTGCAAAGAGCTTCAGACCTTGCATTTCCTTTTCATCTGGTCTCCAACCCTGAAAGGTCAGGTTAATTACCTCCATTTATGGATGACTAAACTAGGCTCAGGAAGGTGATGGGACTGGCTGAGATCACACAGCCCTCAGCGGAGGAGCTACTCTCAGGTCTGGTCTCGCGGAGGCTTTCTGCACGTGCCATCAACTCAAACGCCCTTCCCCAGTGCCTGACTCTCCGCCAAGTCTAGGTGTCCACAAAGTCAGGAGAAAAAGCGAGTATAACCCAAACTGGATCATTCCTGTCTTCACATCAACAGCCACACATTCTCATTATTTGCTTTTGTCTCTCGTAGGGAGGAAAGGACCCACAAAGTTGAAGACACACCTGCCACAAGGATGCCTATAAAGACACCTGCCCAGAGACTGCCTGTCCAACTGTGGACGGATGCCACCCTTGTTATTGATTCTGGTAGCATCAAATCTCAGCTGGGAGCTCCTCCACCAGGAAGCCTGCCTGGTTGTCTCTGCCTAGCTCTGACCCTACAGTCCTGGGTTTTCTGCCACAGACAGGGAGGGCCTTGCCGGTGCCTCACCCTAGCCAGGTCAGGGTTCAAAATGGGTCACAATAGGGACTGTCTCAGAACCTCAGCCCTTCCTGGAAGCACTCCCTATGCCACCACAGAAGCAGCTGTGAGCCAAAACCTCCCCAGGAATCAAAGCTAATTTTCTGTTGTTTAAGGAGGCAGCTCCTCAGTGAGTCACTGTTTGGGCTCTTGTCACTCAGGCAGGAAGGAGCCGGGGGCTGCCACGTGGTGCCCTCGTTAAAATCAAAAGGAAATGGCGAGCCAAGGGGAGACCCTCCTCCGTCCCTCAGGGGACTGTGACTCACAGCTACAGGGTGACCCTGGGCAAGTGGACTCCGCTCACTAGCCCCCAAGTCGTCTCCAATGTGGGGGAAGGGCGAGTCTGGCATGAAAGAGTCCCAGGAAGGGTTCTTAGCAGGCAGTGGGGCCGACTGCCGTCCGTGTGTACCGAGATTTCCTCGTGTGTTAAAAACCTTGAACCCTGGGGACCAGCAGTTAGGGTAATGGCTATGTTACTGGACTCCCATGTAGTCGACTGCAGCTCGAGTCCTGGACCTGGAGGCTTAAACTCATGCCGGGCGCGTGTGCGTGCGTGCCCAAGATCCCAAGAGGAGAATGGAGGAGAAGGGATTGCGGTGTGGCCATCCTCCCTGGGGGGGTGATTTCTTGCTTTCTGTCTCTCTGTCTCTCTCTGTCTTTCTGGTGAGCGCACGTGCCCTATAGCAAAAACCTCTCAGAAAAAAAAAAAATATTGAACCCTGTAGCACTGCCAGGGGCTCCCTGCCACACGGCCTCCCCTCCCCCCAAGGTGAAACCTTCCTGAGCACTCTGTCCTCTGGCCCTGGGTAGAGTCAGGGGATCTGTACCAGGGTTCTCCCCACCTAGGTAGGTCTCCCTCCTGGAACTGGCTGACACCGGGCCTCAAACCTGCTCTGGAAGCCTGAAGTCTGGTGGCCAAAGCTCAGGGCTGAAGCATAGCTCTGCCTTTGTGACCCCTTTCCTCCATTAAAAAAAAAAAAAAAAAGTATTAAAAAGTAAATATGAAGACAGATACAATCCAGGCTGAATTATACTCATTCTTCTTCTGATTTTATAACACACAAAAATATTTTGGGTGGTCCCCAACAGTTTCATAGTGTGAAATTTGTCAGGATCAAAATGGAGTTGTCCGTGCCAACTTGGGTTAAGCCCAGACCAGCAGAGCTTGGGAAAGCCATGGAGGGGCGTATCTCTCACACCAGCAAGCCTGCTCACGAGAACCGTCGCGAGGGCCCTGCCAGAACCACGGCCCTGCACAAAGGCTATCACAATCCGGCCCGAGAAACGCTTCTGCAAGGATGCCAGCCCAGAGACGGCCTAGCCACGCTTGGGCCAATGCCACCCTTGTTATTGATCCTCGTGGCTGAGGACAATTGTCTCCAAATAACCGGTACACTCCCTTCTCCACCCTCCCTTGTCCCTCCTGTGGTTTTGGTCTCTAAAATTTGCTCAAGGATTCTAAGACCTCAGTGCACATGTTCAGGGCAACCTGCGGGTGTCCACCTGGGCTGCGTGCCAGACCACAGTCCTCGGACTCGGCCCGGGGAAACGCCTTTGGCTTTTCTACTGTGCCTCAGTCTACCTCTTAGGTTGATGGTGGGTGCCAGGCACTGCCCCTCCCGTGCCTGCTGTGCAAGACGGCCCTGAGGAAGCCCTTTGGGCTGTCTGGGCCTAAACCCTGGCTTACTGTGGGCATGTGACTCGGTTTCCTCCTCCGTAAGATGGCGATTCGCGCAGCACGCGTGTCCCAGCGCTCCAAGGTCTCCTGCTTGCCAGGGTTTGGGCAGCGCCTGGAGCATGGTAGTACGCAGTGAGGTGCACTTGAGTCCCCAGTTCTCCCACGAGGAGGCAAGGATAGGAGCCTCCTAACCCAATAATACAGACCGGAAGACTGATGTCCCAGGTAGGGGAAAGGACCTGCCCAAGGCCACGTAGTAAGTGGTGGAACCAGGACTCCAAGCCCACAGCTCCCAGGTCCGGCACGTTGGTGCAGGTGGCTGGTCAAGTTACCCCAGTGACAGAGCAGAGACTGGCAGGGCGACAGGGGATGTCTCGGGCAGGGGCAGGGCGCCACGCCGCAGGCTGTGCCTGAGTGAACACTCGGAGCAGGACAGACCTAGTCCTGGGCACTCCCAGGGAACTTGAGTTTCTCAGCCTCTCTGGGCCTGCATCCCTGCACCGGTACAGCGAGGATGAGAGGGTACCAAGAACGAAAAGTACCTGGCACGGCCCCTGGCCCACAGCTCAGGGGACAGGAACTGGTAGGAGGATTTGGGGAACGAGTAAGTAGGATTTGGAGAAAGAGTAGGGGACAGGAAGGGTATGGGAAGAAGAGTTACACACTTGCCCCCACCACCCACACTGCCTGGGAGCAGAGCCCACAGCCCCTGCTGGCCCCTCCCTGGGGACTCACTTGGCCAAAGTCAGACCTGGAAAAATCATTGCATCACTGGGCACTCAGGGGTTAATGATGGGGAGTGGACGGGACCTGGTACTTAACTAATTGGGAGGTGCCCTGAGATCAGTCTCCCCTGCTCCTTCCTTCTGCTGTGACGGCTCCTCTGCCCCCTGCTCATCTCCCCTGCCCCCGGAGATGAAACCTCCCCCTGTTCTGACTTTGCTTTGCATCCTGGGTAAGTGACATTCCTGACTTCCTGCCCTCCCACTCCTGCTCTGGCAGCCCCCAGCTCCCACATGCCCCTGCAGAGGCCCGCTCCCTGCCCTCAGAAGTGACCCTGAGGCTGGTTCTGCCTGAGCCAGCAGTGGCCGGAGGTCAGGGGACAGAGGAAGAGGACTGCTTGGAAGGGGGTGGGGCCTGGGCCAGGGCTGTGAGGGTTTCCCCTCCCCCAGCAGCACCCCCAGCGGCTTCCCGACCTGGCGTCATTGGTTCCAACCTGCCAGGTGGGCAGCACTCGCTGCTGAATCAGTAGGACCTGGAGGAACTCGGGAGGTCAGCCAAGGCGGTTAGGAAACATGCCGGGTGGCACCCGATGAAACTTGGCTGGGATAGAACACTCCTGGGGCACAGGGGTCTGGTCCCCGGGGAGATGGGGAAGATTCTGTGGGAAAGCATGGAGGAGCTGTGAGGAGTCCCCAGGGACATGCTGGGTAGAGTAGAGGATCCTGTGCAGACGCACTGGAGGTGGGGCTCCTTATTGTCATTGCTGTCACTGGGAGTGGGTGCTGGGCTGGGGGGACAACACAGAGATGCTGGCCTCGGCCCTGAGAGGACATCGCAGAGAGGCCAGGACCCTGAGGGCCTGGGGCCTGCGCCCTCTCTCTGCAGTGGCCCTGGCCGGCGGGAACCTGGTGCAGTTCGGGGTGATGATCGAGCGGATGACGGGGAAGCCAGCCCTGCAGTACAACGACTACGGCTGCTACTGCGGCATCGGGGGGCCCCCCCT